TGTTCAAGCCCGTGTTGCCTTTCCTCAGTCAGTTCTGTTCTTCTCTAACCCTCTTCTCTTTTCTCCTTGCTTGCCTTAGGAAAATCATTCCATCAAACCAATCAGTCCATCTCTTCTCCCAACATCCTTTACTTCCTGCCTTTCCTGTGTTCTATTTATGGGGCAAAAAATGAATTCTAATCATGGCTGAGAAATGAGAAATGTTATTAGTAGTGCCATTAATCATGCCATAGAAGACATGACCTTTATTCCCAAAGACAGTAGGTTATTTTAGGAAACATCTAACATGCAGAAACAATCCGGTATAATTAAATGTTCAGGTGGATGTGCAGCAGGGCTTAGAAAAGGAAGAGCTTAGTGTAGGATGAAGGGTGCTATGAGCCATGGAGGTGAATGTTGAGGTTTTGAGGGACTAAACTCCCTAAGGGAAGAGGAAGAAGATGTGAGGACACAGATTTGGGCATTCCCAGAGTTACGGGTTGGATAGGCAAAGAGCACCTCATTGTCAAAAGCAGAAGGGGGGCTTCAGAGGAAAGTTGATAGAGCTGCTAACAGCTCACCTTTATTGAGTGCTACTTTTTTGGTAACTTTTTATTTTGATGTAATTTCCAACCTAGAAAAAATTACAAGAATAGTACAAGAACTCCCACATACATTTTTCTGATTTTTTTTCCCCACCATAGATAGTTTTGCTTTTTCTAGGACTTTATATCAGTGCGATCCTACAAGATGTACTCTTCTGTGTCCAGATTCTTTCTTTCAGCAAAATGCTTTGAGTTTCATTTATACTGTTGCAAGTCTTGATGTCATTCCTATTTATTGAGGAGTAATACTCCATTGAATGAATATGCCACAATTTGCTTACCTGTCTTCCTGTGGATAGATGGGGAATATGGGTTGTTTCCTACTTGGGGCTATCCTGAGTAAATCTGTTACAGAATTTTTGTGAAAGTCTTTTTTGTGGAGATAAGTTTTTTATTTCTCTGGATGAAGTACTTAGTACTGGAATCGTTGGGTTTTGGGGGAGGTTAATGTATTAAAAATTGTCAGACATTTTATTATGTACAAGAACATTTTATGTATAAGAAATTGCCAAAATATTTTTTTAGAGTGTTTGTACCATTTTGTATTGCCGGCAGTGTTGTATGAGTGTTCTGGTTGCTCCATATCCCAGCCAACATTTGATGTTGTTAGTCTTTTAAATCTTAGTTGTTCCAGAGTGTAGGAGAGAGATTGATCATCATGGCTTTCATTTGTGCCTCTCTAATGGCCAGTAGTGGTGAGCACTTTTCTCTGTACCTCTTGGCCATTTTCCTATCTTCTTTTTGAAGTGTCTACTAACCCTTTCACCTTTCTAAATATAATGACTTGTCTATTCTTGAATTATAGGAGTTCTTTATGTATTCTGAATACCAATCCTTTGGCAGATAAATGTTCTACAAATCTCTTTTTCCAGTCTCTGGCTGGCTTATTCATTTTCTTAATGGTATCTCTAAAAACATTTTTTTATTGAGACATAATTGGCATATTACATTACTTTCTGGTTTATGGTATAATGATTGGATATTTATACATCATGAAATGATCATTGCAATAAGTCTAGTTACCATTTGTCACCATAGAGAAATTTTTGGCAACTTTCAAGTATGCTCTACAAATATTTGACTGTAGTCTTCATGCTGTACATTATATCCTTGTGGCTTACGTATTATGTAACTGTAAGTTTGTACCTCTTGACATGCTTCACCCATTTTATTCACTCCTCGCCTCTAGCAACCATCATTGTGTTCTCTGTATTTATGAGTTTTATGTTTTTGTTTTGTTTTTCAGATTCCATATATAATTGAAATCATAGGGTTTTGTCTTTATGTGTCTGGCTTAGCTCATTTAGCATTATGTCCTTTAGGTCCATCCATGTTTTTGCAAATGAAGGATTTCCTTCTTTTTGGTGGCCAATAATATTCCTCTGTGTGTGTGTGTGTGTGTTACATATTTTTGATATGATTTTTTGTATGTATATTACATATTTTTTTCCATTCATCATTAATGGGCACTTAGGTTGTTTCCATGCCTTGGCTGTTGTAAATAATGCTTCAGTGAACATGGCGAGGCAAAGGTTTTTTTTGACCTAGTGATTATATTTCCTTTGGACAGATACCCAGAAGTGGAGTTGCTAGATCATGTAGTTTTTTTAAAAACATTTTTGAGGAACATCTGTACTGTTTTCCATAGTGGGAAGTATAAATTAGTGCAGCTACTTACCACCAGCAGTGCACTTGGGTTCCCTTTTCTCCACATCCTCACCAATGCTTGTTATTTCTCGTTTTTGTTGTTGTTGTCATTGTTGTTTTGTTTGTTTTTCATAACAGCCATTCTGACAGGTGGGAGGAGACATCTCTGGGTGGTTTTGATGTGCATTCTCTGATGAAGAGTGATGTCAAGCATCTTTTCATGTATCTGTTGGTCATCTGGATGCCTTCTTTGCGAAAAGATCTATTTAGATTCTCTGTCCCTTTTTTAATTGGATTTTCTTCTGATACTGAGTTTTATGAGTTCTTTATATATTTGGCATAGCAATATCTGTTGGCCATATTATTTGCAAATATTTTCTCCCATTCAGTAGGTTATCTCTTTACTTTATTGATGGTTTCCTTTGTGGTGTCGAAGCCTTTTAGGTTGCTGCAGTTCCATTTATTTACTTTTGCTTTTGTTGACTTTGCTTTTGGAGTCAGATCCAAAAATGTGTTGCCAAGACCTATAGCAAGGAGCTTATGTTTTTTTCTAGGAGTTTTATGGTTTCAGTGGTGAGTGTTAGCTCAAGGGAAGGAACCCATGCCACTTCTAACCTAGTTATAGGAAGGCTGGGGAGGGCAGATGAGTAAGCCTGGGACTCACAGATGCAGGAAGTGCCACAGATTTGGGGAGCTGGAAGGGATTCCCCAGCGTATATTGTCTGCTAGTTTATAGGTCTTTCTCTACTGTCAGTAATACGAAAACAAAACCACGTGAGAATTTAAATCTATGTTATAAATTCTCAGTATTTAAGCAAATAGGAGATTATGTTTCCCCTTTTGTATATGTTTTAATCTGCTATAAGATCCGTCTTGTAATAGATACATAATGTGTGAATCATGTCTCTGCCACTTAGTGATATGACCTTGGATGATGTACTGTTCATCTCTCTGTGTGTCCTTGTCTCACCTGTGAACTCAGAAAACTATAATACCTAATTAATAGTAGGATTTTAATATATTTTAAAGTAGTTCTTTTAAGGTACTATATATAAAGTGCTTGACCCAGTGGTTGGCATACAGTACTCAAAAATATTGCCTATCTTATATATACACATTTTCACACATACATTCAATGCACAGATTGTTTAAATGCAGGGTGAGCTTAACCTTTTTCTCTGATAGATACAAGCACTTACAGAGTGTGCAGAGGGAGCTCTGACCTTTCAAGATCCTGCAAATGTTAAAGTTGTTCTGAAGTGGGAGAATATTTGGTAATAAAATAACAACAGTCCTTGCTTCCACAGAGATTTCATGTTCATTAGCTGAGACAATTGCCAGTGAGATTTTATTGGTTGTTGTACTTTGGGGTCCATTTTCTGCAGTGTCCTGAGGACAAGCCACATGGAAGACGAACTCGCGGTTTCCTGCCCGGCTGCCAGCGTGCATGCCACCGGTCGGAGGTCTCTCTCGGTTTTGCACATGGCTGTGCAGTAAGACAGAGTAGAGCAGAGCCACATCTGGTCCACTCAGAATGTCATTACCACGTCTCCTCTGAGGCTTGGCTTCTCACAGATCTCCTCCCTGCTTCGGTCCAGCCCTGCTGAGGGGACAGGGAGCTGTTGCTGGGAAGGGTCAGTGTCATTTGTTTGCTCCCGTGCTGGGGGAGAGGAGGAGAGAAGCTGCGCGGTTCTTGCTAATTACTCAGCAGGGAGGGGACGCCATGGTGAGCTGCCTCTGTCCTGGGGACAGACAGGCTCCGGGTGCCCTCCTGCAGGGCTGGAAAGCTCGGCTCCAATGGGCTCTCCTGCTCAGAGCCATTACTGTGTCGCGGGAGAGGCTGCTGGCAGAGTGGCACTGAGGCTCAGCTTCAGGGACGACACTGTGCCGAATTCCTGGCTAGGGCTTTGGCTCCCAAGGCAACCTAGCTTTGGCTTTATTTTGTCCCCTGGAATAACTCACCTAAGGTCAAAGAACATTTGTTCTTCCCCATCCTTCCATCTGCTTTGCCCCGTGACTCCCTTTGCCAAGTAGGAGTGAAGGAGCTGTTAACGTTGTCCTGCGTGCTGGTCACTTTTCAGGGCACTCTAGGAGAGTGTGCGGAATGCCTCGTCCTGGAGGCTCTCCGAGCATCAGGCCTTAGAAAGTGGAACCTGCATGCCTGGGTCGTCATGGGCCCTTGCTGGTGTCTAGGTGGCTCTTAGTCAACATTTATCTCATCAGAGGAGGGGCAGGGCCTCTGTCCTTAGCTGTTGGCAGGAAGTGCAAGGATTTTTACTTACCAGTAAGCACGTGAAAGATGTTGGCTCCCTTTGTGTGCATGGGGCTTCGCATCTCTTCCCTACTGCCCTGCTCCCAAGGTCCTCAGTCCTGTGGACATCGCCCTCCTTGCTCCCCCACATTTCATGTCTGGGCCGCTCTGGCATCAGCTTTCTGAGAAGCTCCAGTTCCTGTGTACTATTGTCCTGCTGTGAGCTTAATCAAATCAGGAGAACCTTGGCCTCCTTAGCAATCTCTCATCAGTGACAGGTAAGATCCAGGTTCACCCCAGGCCGCTCTCCCCACCCCACTTTGAGGGGGGCCGCACGTTTCCAGGGTCCACACTCGTGTCTCTGTCTCTGGAGCACGGGCATGCCGCCCGCTTCAAGCCAGATGCCTGCATCCAGGACGTGGCTAGATGAGGCATTCTTTAGGAAGCAGCAAGCCTCAAGAGTCTTGACTTGTCCCACATGGTTATGTTGTAATTTACAAAATCTTACATCTTTTCAGGATCCATTGAAAATGGATATGTGAAGCTTGTTGTTATAAGGTTTAAAAATAACACAGAACACCTACCTCTTATTGGAAAAGTTGGCCTCTCTTGGAGAACTGATGTTTTCGATGGCTGTATAAAGGTAATTTGTTTTATTTTCTTAATGTAACCTGGCTTCTGTGGAATAAAAAAAATGTCTGTCGATGATATCTATGATACTGCTTTTTAATTCCTGGTTTTACTATTGTAATGTCTGAAGATATGTGCACATTCTCTTCGCTTTTGACAGCCAGTTATCTGTTCAACCAATGCTTCTTGAGTGCCACCTGTCTTTTGTGGAGTGTGGTGGAACAGGAGTGGTGGGTAGTATGCCGTGACATTTTTGTATCCGTGCCATCCCTTGAAGCCCCTCTGTCTGTCTATCTTGTGGGGAGAAAGTGGAGCTCTAGATTGGACCACGCAAGTAGCATTTACTCACCGTCTTAACTGCTCTTACACCAAGTTATAAGTCAGGATATAGAGACTTCCTTGAATACCCTTCCTTGAACAGTTACATCAATTTGTGCCTCACCAAAAATTAGCCACAAGGATGGGAGAGTTTATTTAGTGGTTGGGAGTCGGCAGGGAAGGAGGGAAGAGAAGGGGGCGGAGGAGAGTGCAAGCACTTGAGACGGAGTTTATTTCTTCTGTGATCTCATGCCCACGGCTGCCCTTGCTTCTCATTGTTCTCCATCTTCGTTTTACGGGATGAATCGGACTTGTGTATCCCTGGTGAGCCAGTGACATCTGTCTTCAGTAACATGCCTCTGTACGAGTGTGGACGCCTTGTTAGAATAATTACTGATGGTCACGAGAGCATGTTATCATTGAGTATTAAAAACAGCTAATTATCATTAATATCTCTTGGGCCACTTGCTGTTTGATACAATGAACTGCTTTATTCTCTTTATTTGTAAAGAAATATTTCAACTTTGGTACAGAGTATTTTTATCATATACAAAAGAATATTGTTTCATGTTTTTAAGAACACAGACCTGGCTTTTTTAATGGGTCTTATAAAAATATGTACTGAAATAAAATATTAAAGTTGGAGTAGACCTTGAGATCCAAGAAAGGCAGAATGCAGATACAGGAGACTTAACATGTCTGTGTGATTATAAAACTGATGTAATTTGTTCTGTTTTCTGGTATTTGGAGCAGGATGAGAGCAGAGGGAGGGAGGTGGAGTAATTCTGCAGAGAAACAAAGCTCTATCCCAGCTCTCGTTGTCACACACAGAGTCTCTGGTGGGACTTTATGTAGGCCAGACTAAGCTGAGGAACAGACCACCCTAAATAGCATTTTAGCTGCAAATGCAGGGACAGATTTTTTACAACAACCAGAGGCCAAAGGTGTAGCTTCAAAATGAGCTCCAGGCCGTGATTCTGTAGGTCACTGGACTGACATGACTGAAAAGTGCATGTTTCCAGCAAAATGGCTGTATCTGAAAGTGAGGTTTCGAGTCCTTGAGGTCAGGCATGGACTGCATATCCCCGCACACTGTCCCCCTTGCAGTTCCTTCTCCCAGCTGGGCGCCGGGGGGAGGTGGAGCGGGGCTCCACGGCTGGGCCCTCTCCCGTGGGCCGGCTCTGGCTGGGTGAGGACCATTTGTACTTTCCTGTTCCTAATTTGGGCTTTGGTATTAGGACTGAGGTGTCCTCAGGGTTCCTAAAGGAGAAAAGTTGAAGTAAGTGATGTCCTTCCTGTCCCTTGTGTTCGCCACGCAGATCGGGAATTTCCCTCAGGCATCTGAGCAGTGTAACTAGTGAAACTATAAAACATGTTTTAAGAAATTGCTCTCAAGATGTCAAAAACATTTTATGAACAAGGGTAAACTATAAAAAGGTTTCTTAGATACATGTAACTATTAAACACCAGAAAACAAAGTGGCATGCTTGTGGGGAAAATTGTGGAAACAACCTCCTGGCCTGTCACCCAGCACGCCATCGGGGCGCAGGTCAGTGAGGAAGTGTCCCCCAAGCCAGTGACTTGGCGCCCGGGACGGATATTAATGATCGTGGTAATGACAGAGGGAGGAGCTGCCTGTGGCGCCGTGTTGTTGAACTGCCGTGTGGTCATGGGTGGGCTCTCGGAGGGCCTCCTGGTTTACCATGCCCAGAGGAGTCTTCTCCGTCACAGGAGCACGGGGGTGTGAGGGCCGCCAGCCCACCCTCGCTGCCCAGAGGCCGTTCAGACCAAACATATCTGTCGCCTGAGTGACCACAGTCCAATGTCAGCAACTCATTATTTTATGTGGGCGATTACTCAGCTGTCAACATTTATTTATTTTTTATTTTTTTAAACATTTTATTTATTTATTTGACAGAGAGATCACGAGTAGGCAGAGAGGCAGGCAGAGAGAGAGGGGGAAGCAGGCTCTCCACGGGCAGAGAGCCTGATGCAGGGCTCCATCCCAGGACCCTGAGATCGTGACTTGAGCCGAAGGCAGAGGCTTAACCCACTGAGCCACCCAGGCGCCCTTTTTTTCTTTTTTTAAAGTTAGATTGTGACCTCAGAGGTGTAGTAGAGCTGCCTGCCGTGGCTGCTGTTAGTCCCGAGTCCACACAGACCTGCTGCCCTTTGACTGGTCGCCGTGGGTTTACAGTCGCGGTGTGGGCGGCCGGGGCGGTCGGCCTGCTGCGGACTTCGGGAGAAGTCCATGTCGTCTGACCCAGACATTCTCGTGCCTTCTCTCCATTCCTAGCGGAAGTGCTGAGGGATGGAGTTTCCTTCGGGAAGGCTTTTCTCATACCCGTCCCTTGTACTTCATCCTTCATGCCTTCGCATTTTTGGTGTTATTTTAATGTTACTTTTAGATCTGTACGGTGCTTGACATCCGTTGTGATTCAAGCTAGATATTTTAGTTTAACTGCGGTTGTGCTTTGTGCAAGAATAGTGAAGCCCGCTGATGGGCGCGTCATGGGTTCAGGGTGTGATGGTGGCTGTGTCCCCACCCCAGCCCCCAGGAAAGATGCCCTGGTGGGTTTGCTGGCAGTGCTGGGTGGTTGAAGGAGTCTGCACCTTGGGGGAACCCGACACCCCATGTGCATGAGGAGGTGGACTGTGCTCTGTGAAGCAGGGCTTGGGTGTCCGCAGGGACTGAGGAGGGACGGAAGAGCCCGGCAGTGGCCGCGGGTCCACCTTGTGACCTGGCTCCTTGCTCGGTGCGGAATGCCCTGAGGAAGGAGGGAGTAGCAGGAGGCAGCTCACGGCTCATGAAGGGCCTCACATCCCAGGGTAGAAAATTTGGAATTGAGTTTGTGTCCTGGGAGGCAGTTGAAGGGTTTTGGGCCGCCATGTGCCAGGTGTTCCGTGGGGTAAGAAGAGGTTGGAGGATGCGAGGCCTTTAGAACCGGGTGGGCGTCGGGAGCTTGCCTCGCAGGCGGCTGGGGGCCGGGAGCAGACAGAGGAAGCCGTTTCCTGGAGGGCGCAGGGCTCGTGAGCAGCGTCCTTCTCGAAGAGTTTTTACACCCGTTGACTGTTCCTCCGTGATGTCCTCCTTCACCTTCCTCTGAAATGTTGGGGCAGCCCGGGGTGTCCACTTCTCTTCCATGGTCCCCTCCTTGCTCATGCTTCTAGCAGCTGGATTTCGACGAGGTTCTGAGGAACAGACCTGAGAGGCTGCTAAGCCTGCGGCTCAGACGATGAAGGGCAGTGGGTCAATGTGACCACCCGACCCGGGATTTATCTTGGGCACTGACGTGGCCGCAGAGCCTCCTTCTTCAAACGGCCATGATGATGGCTGTTTATTCTAGAAGGGCTCAGCGACCTCAGCACAGAGGCACACTCTGGCTCCCAGGGTTGGCTGTGGCCTCCCCGTTCTCAGCTTCAGCTAGCCCTTCTCCGTGGTCTGTGAACGGCGGGCCCTGTTCTGCCAGAAGCAGATGGGGTGGTGGGTGGACGTGCGCTGTTCCGGGACGCGGAAGGGCATCAGGAGCAAGGTCTGATGTTGGGCTCCTCTGGCTGTCTCGCCGGGTGACCCCCGCCTCCTGTGCACGGGGGCTTCTGGCTCTGGGCCACCCTCTGTGCCGTCGGGGACCGGGGGTGGGTCCTGTGGCTGGTTTTTCACTTAGGTCTCCCGAGGCAGGAGCCATTTCCCATCACTCACTTCATAGACCGGCTCGCGCGCGCTCTTTTTTTTTCTTTTTTTTAACTTCTGGAATGTTTGTGTTCCTTTAGTTTCTGTCTGAGAAACACTTTTTTTGAGTTGGGACTCTGGCCTGATCATACTCCGGTCCACATGGTCAGCACCGTTGGCCACGTTGAATCATGTGTAGATCTCTGAAAGCAGTGTTTATGCTGACATCTGTAATATCTCTATGTATCTCTCTGTAGACGTCTGTACTGTGTGTCTATAGTTAGGTTGATATCAATGTTCATTTTATACGGATATCGAAGAGTAAGCCTTTAAGTTCCAATTAATAAAACACTAACACAGGGCACAAGTCATGGCAAATCATGAGCCATTTCTAAAATGGGAAGTGTTAGAGGATTTTAGCCTTGATACTGCTTCATAGTTTCTTGAGGAAAATAATTAATTTTTGAGGCTGTAATAAAATAGTATATGTAAACTGCCTGGATTAGTGGCTAGTAAATAGTACATGTTAAAAAATAGAGCTAACATTACATACTCATGTTCATCTCATAGCAGCATTAGTCACAAGAGCTAAAAGGTGGTAGGAACCCAGTGTCCGCCTGCAGCTGAACAGAGAAACACAGTGTGGTGTGGACTGCTGTGCTGTGGACTGCTGTGCTGTGGACTGCTGTCCCGCCTTCCAAAGGAAGGAAATCCTGGCCCATGCTACAACATGGACGAGCTTTGAGGGCACTATGTTACATGAAATAAGGTAGACGCAGAAGGTCTGATACTGTAGGGTTCCACTTACACGAAGTACTGAGAGCACCCAGTTCACAGAAACATTGAGTAGACTGGTGGTTCCCGGGGGCTGAGGGGAGCGGGGGCTGGGACGTTACCATTTCATGGGTCCAGAGTGTCGGGCTTGCAAGACGGAAAGAGCTCTGGAGGCAGACGGTGCTGAGGCTGCGTAGCAGCGTCACTTAATGCCAGGAAGCTGTATGCTTAAAAATAGTTATGAAGGTGAAGATTTGTTGCATGTGTTTTACCACAATTAAAAAATAAATGTAAAACTGTAGCTCGTTAATAATAATCATCATCAGCATCTCCCCGACTCAAGTCCCCGTGGAGCAGTGACTCTTCGCGCGGCATGGTAGGTGCGGCAGGTCTGTAAGGGACACGTTTCGTCTCCCCAGACCCTGCTCTTCTGCAGCGATGGGAGGGAGAGAGTGGGAGGTTAGCGCCCCTTCTACCTTGCCCTCACCTCCGGATACCAGATTCTGCTCAGTGTGGCTTATGAATTCTGCCTCCGGCTGCTGAGGGCTTGGCTTACTGTCTCTTTGCAGGCGTGTAACGGTCACCTGGGCCGTTCTGCGCGGCCGCCATCCCTGTCTCAGTGCTCTTCTGTTTACTGGAGACGCATTTATTGGCACTAGTGGCTGCTTGCGGTGGTGGAGGTGATGGGCAGCCTCCCTGCCGTCCCCTAGCGCCCCTGGTTCCTAGTCCCTCCAGCGCTTCCTGATCTCCCACGGTCCTGGTGTGGCCCCGCCTGCTTCTGTAATTCTCTTCTATTTTCTGTCCTCCCTGCCCTTTCACTTCACCCTTCGTGACAAGGCTTCATTTACACATTTGTGCATGTGTTCGTTAGACCTGGAAATCAGGTCCAGCTGGCCATTTTGCCCTTACACTCATGAGTGTTTGTGTTTATCTTGTAGAGTTGTTCTATAATGGACGTAACCCTTTTGGATGAATATGGGAAGCCCTTTTGGTGTTTCAGTTCCCCCGTTTGCATGAGATCTTCTGGGCCCTCTGATGGGCCTAACTTCTTGGGACAGACATACTGTGTTGACTACGTGGACTTGGAAGGAAAAGTGCACGTGGAGCTGGTGTGGATCAAGGAGACGGAAGAATACTTCATCGTCAGCCTGGTCCTTTACCTGAGGACAGCAAAAATAAACCAGTGGTTTGGGACAGCGTACTAAGTACTGACAGGAGGTGGCGAATTCCTGTTGCTGTTTGTTTTGGAGTGCTCACCGGTTGTGTTCTTGGTGTTGGAAGTTGAAATAAAGCAATCGTCTGTTTGATGCCTCCTTCTTTCACATTAGAAATTTGATTGCTGGGTCATTTTAAAAGTAATGTTTACAGAATTAAGTTAAATTTTTAAAACAAGAAAATAGCATGTATTTGTATAAAATAAGGGAAAAGATATTTTCTTCTGCCCTTACAATTTAAAAGACAAGGCATTCTGCTTAAGCATGGGATCATGTGATCACTGTGTGTGTGATCAGTGTGTGTGTGTGCACGTGATGACTCTGTACATGTGTGTATGTGTGCACGTGTCTGTGCATGTGTGCGTGATTACTGTGCACATGCGTATGTGTGTCATATGTCTGTGTATATGTGTTTGTGTGTGTGTACATGTTGTAGAGATAGAGGATTTTTTTCTTTACTGGCTAGAACCCAAAATGAAAAAGTGCATTTAAATATGAACTTCATGGTGTCCATTAAAATGAGAAAGTGCTGTGTTCACGGCATTCAGCAGCCACATTAGTATTTAGTGAAACTAAAGTCGACAAGTGCCTATCTCCTGAGGTAAGATGTATCTGAAATCATCAGAAGAAACTGTTATTGCTTAAAAGAACAAAGTGCAATACAACTGCAGTGAACGCCCCCAGCCGGATATTAGTGGAGACTCGGGAAGGCTGAGTTAGAGGGGAGCACATCCTCTGTGCGGGTGTTTTAGGACAACTGACAGGTACTTGGCTTTCAAATATGGGGACCACGCATCTGAGCTGTGTGCTTTTGTTTTAGGGATTTGGTTCTAAATTTGTTTTAAATTGTACAGATTATTTTTTGATTACGTTTTTATCTCCTACTTAAGGTTACCCTTGTAAGTGATTTCTGAAATGCTGTGTTGCGCCAGGGCAGGGTGGGGGACTTGTCAGTCTCCTTTTTCCCATCTCATCCTAAACTATCCGACCAGCTCCTCCCTTGAGGGGTGTGTGTGTATGAGCTGCTTGAAGACAACAAGAAAAGATCTGGGACAGATATCAGGTTCTTCTTCAATATTTATTGAAAAAAAGGGGACAGTACCATACAGTACAGCCGTCCCTGCTGTCCTGACCTCTGGGGCCTGGGCTGGAGCCCTGGGAAGGGAGAAATCTGAAATCTGGGTCAGAGCGGAGAACAGGGGCCATATTATCTCGTGGTACCACCAGAGGGGTGCAGAGCACCTGCCCCCCCTGAGTGAGCGTTGGGGGATGGAGAGGCAGTGGCTGGAGTCATGGAGAGGACCAGATATCAGGGGAGGCAGTGGTGAAAACCACGCGTCACCTGCAGGTCAGAATTGAAAAACGACCACGGAACAGTGGGTGGTGATGCCTGGAACACATTGAGTTAAACTGTGGAGGATGTAGACCTCCCGGAAATGTAGGAAGCAAGGCAGAGCCAGGGACAGAGTACGGTTCTCTTTGCCCCCAGGGGAACGCTATCTGGATGGAATGGGCAGCCGGGTCCTTCCGTGACGGTGGAGAGACTTGGGCCAGGGCGTCTTGGTAGAACTCTTGTCTATATGGAATTGAGTATGTATGTAAGGTCTGCCGACCAAATGGCTAGGCCCGTGAGCACGACTCTGCTGCCTTGTTTACTTCTTTCTTTCCAGCATCTAACAGGATGCCAGTCTCGTAATACTCACGATGGTTGAATCCACAGAAATTATAAGGACTATACCCACAGCTATGGGAGCATGAAGCAGGCAGGCATAAATTCTGACTTGAGGAGTCTGGGAGCCCTACATGTCTGAGTTACCTCTGGGTGGTGTTGGGGGAAGGGGGAGCGCAGCCAAAGAAGGACATTCATGAAGTCATGGCGTTTGTGTCTTATCAGAGCACCGTGGGTGCACCCCACATCACCAAATGGTGCCTGCCCTCACCTGCCCTTCCATGGGTCTGAGAGAACACTCAGCCATTTAAAGCTGTTTCTTCCCAAATTTGCCCCTGTATTTCTCAATAATATTCTTCTGTGGCTGTTTCTGGATTTGTCAGTTTTAGACATCTATTGACTGAAGGCAGATAAAAGATAGCTTTCCTATTCCAGCCACCTCCTCTCTTGCAGCATATCAAATGGGGCAATTTTATATAATTTGTTATGGTTTGTTAATTACAGCTCTGATACCATTCCCTGCCGAGTCACAGAGAGTAATAGGGCACTTCTTTCTTTTACAACTTTTTATTTTTCTTGTACGAATAATTGTCTCCCTTTTTTCTTGCACGGCTTTAGTGAGCCTTAAGTTTTCCAAGAAGTTCAATCTTTCATATGGTGGTCAATTTTTTCAGTATTTTTTCCTAAATCAATCATATCAAATAATGTACAAATTCTGTTTTTTCTACAGGCTATTTCATTTCCAGAGTACTGCCTCTGTTTGCTTTAAACTTCTTTTTAGCCCTGCTGGACAGCTCTCATCCTGGGAGGTTCCTGTGGGAATCTTATTTTATGGAGTCTTGTCTTCCTCTTTCTTGATTTATATCTTTTTTTTTTTTTTTTTCACACATTCTAAGAAAAGTGATGTGGGAGACACATTTTGGGTCCATGAATTCCTGAAAACGTCTGATGGATAGTTTAATTGGGTACACACTGTAGGATGGCAAAGGTTTTCTCTTAGAACGTGAAGACAGTTTTAACATGTGCACATATCCTAGCCTTGCTGTGGATGGAGATCCTGCCTTTTTGATTGTTCTTCCTTTGTATGTGACCACCTGTTCTCTTTCTCTTCTCTCTCTGGAAGCTTTCAGAATTTACTCTTCTTGCTTGGTATTTCAAAATTTCAAGATAACATGTCTTGGAGTAAATCTTTTTCATTCATTATGGGTCATTTAAAGAATTTTAGTACTTCAATTCTGGATTTAAGAAAAAAAAAGTATTTTTGGGTGCTTGGGTGGCTCAGTTGGTTAAGTGACTGCCTTCGGCTCAGGCCATGATCCTGGAGTCCCAGGATCAAGTCTCACATCGGGCTCCCTGCTTGGTGGGGAGTCTGCTTCTCTCTCTGACCTCTCCCCTGTCATGCTCTCTCTCTCATTCTCTCTCTCAAATAAATAAATACGAGCTTAAGAAAAAAGTATTTTCTCTTTTTCTGTAGCTTTTATTGATCAACTGTCATCCTCTAAGTTTATTTTTAGTTTTAAAAAAATTTCATCTTCACCATTTGGCAAAACCAAAGTAGATTATTTTAATTTTTTTAAAAAGATTTTATTTATTCATTTCACAGAAAGAGAGCACAAGTAGGCAAAGCAGTAGGCAGAGGGAGAAGGAGAAGCAGGCTCTCTGCTGGGCAGAGAGCCTTATGTGGGACTCCATCCCAGGACCCTGGGATCATGACCTGAGCTGAAGGCAGCCGCTTAACTGACTGAGCCACCAGGTGCCCCCACACAAAGTAGTTTCTTATAGGCAAGAATCACCAATGGATGCAAAAATTTGTGGGTGAAAATATGTTGAGGAACAACATGGGGACATGGTCTCCGAGTGTGTTGCCGGAAGGTACTTGCTGTTACAGAGGACAGAATAATGTGTTCACAGTGGAGGGACCTGGGGAGACAATCTATTCTCCCGCTGCTCCCCTCTGGCCAGATGCCTCCTCCACACCTTGGCACACCGTGATTGCATGCTCTGCCACAAGGAGACCCTTCTCATCCTGCCCATCCTCACCCATTTCTCATGCCTCGGTGCCCCCCGCCTCCCGCTTCTGCACGTGCGGCCTCCTCACCCCACGTGGGCACGGAAACCTCATGGTGCCACCATGTTATGAGATTTCAAGAGTCTCTTGCTGCTGGGATGCAGCATAGCGAGGCTCGGAGAGATGAAAGGCAGCTCCCTGTGAAGCTGGGCCATGGGGGGCATTGTGCCTGGGGACAGGGTGATGGCACACTGGCACTGGAGGGGGCGTCTTATGAATGGAAAGCCCAGCAGGGATAGCTCATGTTTGAAAGCTCCTGGTGGGTTTGCAGATTTGGAGAATCCTCTGGACGGGGGTTGTCCTGGTTGTCTACTGCCTGCACCTGGGGCCGTTAGGGCAGGTGCAGAGAGGTGCCAGAGTGTGAGAGCCCCTCTGCTAAGGAGGTTGGTGGTCTGTGGACTTAGCCTCCCAGGAAGGGGACTCACCTGCCTCTAGCCTCAAGACTGGCTTGGGACAAGCGTTAAGAAAAGCCCCAACCCCAGCCAAAACCAACCATTTGACAGCCACGTCTTTGCATGGATGTCCTCACCACCCTCCCTCACCGGGTTGCTTCAAGTGAGGAGCCCTCCCACCCTGTCCGGAGTGTGTGGACCCCCCACCCGCCCACTGCAGGTGCCTGCCTCGTTGGATCCAACTTCACGGCTGTTGGAATCAACAGTGGGGGGAAGGCAGATGTTTTTCAAGGGTTATGATATATTGGTATGTGTCATCAATGCTCACACGTTATGTATGCCCAAGCTAAATAATAAAAATTTCAGGGGGCTGGCCATCTTTGTGTTGCATGTAGTGATATTAAGTTGTCAACATGTAAGATAAAAACCTTTACTCGTAATACTCTTTTGTCTGAGAGGAAGTCTTTTGACTGTAAAGCAGGTGGAGTTATGCTGGATGTCTTAAATACAATGAGGACGGAGTCTCACGGAGTTAATGCAACAAAAGTAACGGGCAAACTCTTAATTATGCGGTTGGCAAAAGAAACAAGTGTGAGCTATACCCAGAAAGGCATACCTACCACTAGTGTAGAATAAAAGGGACATATTTTTATTTCAACTGTACTCCAGATGCAAAATCTTGCCTGTTCAAAATCAGACCAAAGATCTGACCAGCCTTCTTGAAGGTGATTTTTATATGTGACCTGACTCTTATCTCATTGTCATTAACCTCTGATAAGCCTGACGGTAACTTGTAGAAAGAAAATGCACCCATGAGAAAGTCATTCTGCAGAAGGTTTCCTAATGCCCATAGCATGAAGAATGTACCTTTAAAGAACTGGAAGTGAAGGTGTGGGTCCTACACACCACGGTACATTTCGTTTGTGGAATATCACATCAGCTTCAGCGTAGGATGTCTTCATAGTCTCCTGCAGCTTCGCGGAC